AAAAAAAAAAAAAAAAAAAGTAATAATAGACAACATTTATTAAGCATATGCCTTGTGCCAGGCACTAGTGTTAATAACATTAATATTATTATATTTTAAAATTTTGAGACAAGGTCTTGCTATGCAGTCAAAGCATAGCTGAGGGTGGCCTGGAACTCTTGATGATCTTCCTGTCTTGGCCTCCTGAATACCAGGACTACAGACATGTACCATCACATCCAGCAACATGATTTGGTTTTTTATTCCCACCTCAATCCTGTTTCAGCACTCCTAGCTTCCATATAAGATTTGGGAAGTGATAGAGCTAAAGTGACAGAACTAGTGAGCAACAATGCCAGATATGAACCTAGGGTCTGTCTGTCTCCAGAACTGGGAGACTTTTACTATAATCTTCTATCTCCCCAATGCCAATTCTTCTTTCTTCCCTTTTCCTAGGCTGGCTTTTCAGACCTCCTTCAGTATTGGCCACTCAAAGCTAGTCTTTTGAACCAACTTCCCATGACCTCAAAGCTGTCCCTTGGGCCATCTCCATCTTAAGATCTTTCCAAGGTGGAACAGGCCTTCCAGATGTCAGAAAACCTGTCCTGCCCTCCCACCTCTCTCTGTCACTGAGTCACATGGTAGGGAACTCTAGTACCACACATCCCCTTCCCTGACTTTGTCTGTGAAGTTTCAGTTCTTAATGACAAGGAAGAAGAAATGTAATAAGCAATACTAGGGACAAAGAGACAGAATTGTACTCCAGCTGTCATGCAGGTTCCTGGGCAGTATCCTTCCTCCTCTGTAAGAGGGATTATAAGGTTGCTCGGAAGATTTGCAGAGGCAATGCTTGTAAAGCATCAGAGTCTGCCCATAGCTGGCATGGGATACACAGTTCAATGATGGGTATTTGTCACCCTTCTCTTCCAGCAGTCAGCCTGTCCCTCTGTTCCTAGCCTGATATTGTCAATTGCCATTGTTTAGGCCTTGCAGGGAAGCCAGAGGCATCTGGGACAGAAAAGAAGCCTTGTCTAGTCCCTCCCCCACCCTAGGATACTGCCAGGACCCCAGGGATAAGGGACACAGCTTCTCCTCTGGTACTGCCAGGGGATGTGACAGAACAGACTCAAAGATTGGGTTCAATGAAGGACCTTGTTCTACTGCCCAGAAACAGGAGTGGTTTTGGACGAATGGAGACTGACTCTGGGGAAATGTGTGTTCATGTGTTTGAGCATTGATGGTGGTGGTGGGAAGGGCGGGCCTCCATTACTGGGAAGCATCAATGAGTCCTGGAACTGGTCCAAAGAACTTGTGCAACCTCAGGCCCCTTGGGATGAACCCAGCTGGGGCTGCAGATGACGAGTGAGGATGGAACTTCTAGTTTCCTGAGCTGAGGCACAGCAGGGGCTCAGTGAATACCTGTGCAATTAAACCCAGATGGCTCCTGGAAGACAGTAGTGTCTACACGTGTATAACGTGCCCCTTCTAGGATTCTCCCAACCTTGGGTCACCCTGTTCCCTCGTCTCTGCACAGCACACTAAGAGCACAAACTCAAAAGGCAAACTTTCTGGGTTCAAAATCCAGCTCTGCCCGCACAACCTAGGTCAATGCAACTCTGTGCCAATCCTTTAATCTCTCTGAGCCTTATGTAAAAGCCCTTATGTCATAGTTAAAGGGTCAACGAGAGAATTGTGCAAAGCACCTAGCACGTGCAAATGTTCAGTATATTTAACTATTATTGTCATCGCTCCTAGTTGGAGATCTAAAAGCATGTTGTTGCAGAGCTGGGGGCACAGTTTACTTAGGAAAGCAAATGTGAGACTCCCTTTTAAGATTCCCAATAGAGGTGGGGAATGTCAAGAAGTTATTTACTAAAAACAGACACATCTCTGGCTCCTTGGAGCTAAAGGTGCAATACGAGTGATGAAATTTTGGAGGCATGGGGCATAGGGCTGGGGAATGCTGTAATGCCAATAACTGCTGCTTACAAAGCTGCAAACTTACTCTGCAGGCATGGAGGGGTAAAGATGACTATGTATGAGTGCCCTTCTTGGCACAGTGGCCACAGGGCAGAGCTGGCCAGGTCACCAGAGCTAGGTAGGTCATGACCCTGGGCCCTGGCAAATCATAGGAGCCAAATTTATCTTCAAGACTGCCATAAGAACAAACCCATTTTTATGTGCTGGGCACAGTTGTGGCAGCCTCAGGCACCAGTCAGAAAGGCTGGGGTGTGGCTCTAAATATGCTCTTCTCTGCCTCATCCCAGCTCACACAGATATGGGGCAGGGCCAGGGGGCTAACATTTTTGTTTGATGATCAGTGTCAACAGAGCCCAGAAAGGGAGGGTGGAGGCATAAGGACTGAGCTCTGGTGACTCACTTGCATAGTACCTCCTCAGTTTCCCCACCCAGACTCAGGAAGCCAGAGAGGAAGGGGCTTAAACCTGCTGGATATGAGGACTGACTCAGAAGACAGGAGGTGGGGACGAAATGGAGGAAACGTGGCTCAGGAAGTTATGAGACCAGAGAGGGAAAGCAATTAACTTCCCTGGCTCCTATCTCCTCCCCTGTCCATAGCAACACAGTTCTGGTCCAAGCTACATCAGAGGGGAAGGAGGAGGCCAGGATTACTATTGTAGCTCTTAACAGCAGGTAAGACTGTACTGGGAGAAGCAACAGGGAGAATGACAAGGGGAAACCTGGGGCCTCTTCTTCCCTATTCTGGAGATCTGGAATACTGCTTTTCTTTTCCCTTTTCATTAAGTTTATTAATGAATTTTTGGTATACAATACAGTTACATTCATCATTGGGAACTTGTAGGACCTTTACATGATGTATCTTGTTTCTTATTTTTTCCCCATTCCCCTGCTCTCTCTTCAAACCCTCTATCTGCCCCAATTTATAAAGAATTTGTTTCCACTTTTTTCCTTTCCTAATACTTTTTCCTTTCCCCTACCCCTCCCACTTCCCGTACTCCATTTAGACCTTTTCTTCCTATTTCACATCTATTATACATTTTGATTCTTATTTGCACTTTTAGTTTCTCACATCAGGGAAACTATCTGGTACTTACACATGTGTCCTATTTATACCACTTCAGAGTATGTGCCTCCATTTAGCTATAAACGTCTCTAATTTCTCGTACTTTATGGCTGAGTACTACTCCTCTTTTCTTTTCCTGAATATGGCCTCAGATCTCCTCCCATGAAACTAACACTACCTGCCTGGGGTGGAGGACTTCACTACATTCTGCTACCTGCTACAAAGGGACAGCAGAGGCCAAAGGCCCCCTTCCACAGCTGTGACCTCACTTTCCATTTTTAGGAGGTCATATGACAGTATCCTTACCATCTTTCTAGGCCCACCCACAATCAGCATCCATATCAAGTGGTTCTCCACTGGGGGCACACATGGGAGGACTCTAACTCTCTGACGATAGGGTACCTTATTTTTCTGGTATCCAGGCTAAAACTCAGGATCTTGTGCTTTCAAGGGTGCCACTGAGCTAAATCCCCGGCCCCTAATTGGATACTTTTGTGTGGGGCAATTTCTGTGTTCCCTGCCCTATGTGTGGAGAAGACATGTAGGTGGACACTCTGAGCCAAACCCAGGGTCTCCCTAGAGATCTGGAAGAAGTAACAGGGTTAGATGGGTAGGACAGGGAATTAAAACCCAGATAAAAATGAGGACTCTTCCTCACTGCTTAGGCCTCCTGCTTTGGAGGGATCTGAAGAGCTACAGAAAGGCTTTAGTCACTGCAGTGGGCAGCTCTGAACTGGGGACTCATGGGTCAGCTGACCCAAAGATACGGCTAGTAGGGTAAGTATGCATCTTTGTGCATCATTTATTAACTAAAAGTGTAAATAAGAAGAGAAGATAAGCAATTTTTTGGGGGGAAACGGATCCATTCACCTTTTTTTTAAGGCAATGTTGGTGATGGTACCCAGGACCTCACATATGCTAGACAAACACACTTACCACTGAGCTACAGCCTCAGCCTGCATTAACTATTAAGAATTACTATTCTAGAAGAACTGTGCTAGGCTCCTGAATAGAGTAGTATGCCTGGTTGTGGCTCTGTCTACTTTAGCATAGTCTTTCAGAGTCCAAGAGGTACCTTGAAAGTAATTAAAATAATTCCTTCACTGTCCAGATGGGAGTCTTTGGGCCCAAGTGAGGTGTGACTGATCCAGAACACAAAGTTTTTGGTGGCAGAGCTGGATCCAGATGTTCAGGATGCCCTATTCCTGATCTTCTATCCCATGACAAGTCAATCACCCAGCAGAGCATCATCTCTCACAGTGCCTGGTTGTCAGGCAACTTTTTTTCAAACCCAACAATTTCCTTTTACTGGGTCAGTGGGTAAGGCCCAGGAATTTGGGTTTTATTTCACTCTGGCCCCTCAAAATGATGCGAGTGTGAGAAACACAAGAGAATGGGAAGGCCATAATGAATAGAGGAAGAGAAACAGTCAGAAGGTTGGCACCTCCCAAGAGAGACAGATTCCAGGTCCAAAAACAAGGAGGGCTGGGGGATACTTCTTGCAGGTGGGGGTACAACAGAAGACCATATCACCTTAGTCTTGGAACCCAGCATTCAAAGCCTCTATAGAATTTATCTGCGATCACTTTTTTCTCAAGTCTACTCCAATCCTGGAGGCTTCTATCCTGCTGACTCTGGAATACACTATGCCCCCCCACATTCTGTTTTCCTTACCTGCTTTAAAAGTTCTCACCAGCTGACATGAGGATGTAGATAAGAACCTTGACTGATGAATTTACTCATTACTCAGTTCATTCCACAGCCATGTTCCACCCTGGTGAGGTATTACTCTCCAAATCCCAATGCAAACCATCAAGGATGGGCCTCTGCTGCTTTGCGTAGTGTATTTTTCATGGGCAGTCTAGTAGGCCCATAGACTTTTAGGAACTTAATCTTAGACAAGCTTGAAGAGCTTTGGTACCCCGGCTGAAAGATTACTTATTATAGGGGCCGGGGATTTGGCTCAGTGGTGCAGGCACCTGCTTCACAAGCACAAGGGCCCAAGTTTGATCCCAGTACCACCGAAAAAAAAAAAAAAAAAAGAGTATTATAGCACTCTTTATTAAGAACAAGACCAGATATAATCGGTGGTGGTGCTACTAGTTAAGTGCTCGGAGGACAAAATTGAGCTTTACCTCTAACCAAATGTATGACCTACAGCAAGTCGCTTAACCTCTCCAGATGTCAGTCTCCTCATATATAAAGTGGACCTTCCTCACAGAGTTACTGTGAGATTACATGAGCAATGGAAGTAAAGCACCATTTGGTACACTAGTAGGAGTCCATAGATACAACCTATTCTTACTATCCAGCCATTAACAACAACGATGGGGCCAGGAGTGGTGGTGCAAGCCTGTAATCTGAGCACTCGGGAGGCTGAGGCAGGAGGATCGCTGTGAGTTCAAGACCAGCCTGGGCTACACAGTGAGTTCCAGGGCAGTCTGAACTACAAAGTGAGACCCTGCCTCAAAAAACCAAAAAACCCCCCAAACAACAACAACAAAACAAATAAAAACAACAACGATGATGATGTGGTGAATATGGAATGGCATTCAAATTATTTTGGTAAATAAAAAAAGCAAATTAGCTAACATGCACAATACTCGGCCATTTGCTTAATTAAAATATGTCAAAGCTGGAAAGACAATATGCATGTGGCCATATATGCAATGAAATTTCACCTCAGAAAACAAGCAAGAAGTCTGGAACATGGAAGTCTGGGAAACTGTACTCTACTTTTTGTATGGTTTTTAAAATTATTATTATTATTTTTAAAAATTTTTTTAGGTTTTTTGAGACAGGGTTGCATTTCACTATGTAGTTGAGACTGACCTGGAACTCACTATGTAGCCCAGGTTGGTCTTGAACTCACAGTGATCTTCCTGCCTCAGCTTCCCACGTGCTGGGATTACAGGTGTGTGCTACCAGGCCTGGCTGTTTTTGTTTTTTTTTGTACCGGGGATCGAACTTGGGTCCTTGAGCTTGCAAGGCAGGCCGCAGAACCGTTATCACTGGCCTGTTTTTGTTTTTTTTTTTGAGACAGGGTCTCACTATGTAGTTCAGGGTGGCCTTGAACTCACAGCAATCCTCCTGTTTCAGCTTCCAGAGTGCCAGGGTTACAGGTGTGCAGCACTATGCCTGGCTTATATGGTTTAATTTTACTACAAATTCTGAGAACAAAAGCAAAAATTTAAAAAATGCTCTAACCAGCAACAAGCCCCACTGGTGATTCTGCTAACAGATATGACTGGCCGCGAGAGGTAATCTGGCTGCCTGCTTGGGGTGAGGTGGTGGGTGTATATGATGAAGCAGTCTAAGACACTGGTCTGCCTCACAGGATGAAGGGAGCTCTTATTGGTGGGGAGGCTGGCAGGACTAAGAAATGGCTGAGCTGCTGTACTTGCTCTGGCTTCTTACTGCTTTGGCTACCAGACTGGGAATGAGGCAGTGTGATGCCTGGTCTGAGTAACTTAACTTTCTTCCCCTAGAGCACATAGTGCCTATGTGACTTGTATAGAAAGACTTGATGAAAAACCAAGTGACTGTTGCTAAGGGTGGGCCTGAGAAGAAGAGAGAGGCCATTTAATGCTAAAAGTCCACGCTAGTGTCCCCACCTGTAAAATGGGGATAATAACAGTATCTATCTCACAGAGTGGTTATGAGGACTGAGTTACTGACAATAAAAACAACTATTGTGTGACTGAGCGTTTACTACATGCTAGGAACTGTTCTAAGAGCTCCAAACATGTTAATTCACATGCACCCTATAAGTAAATATAACTATCATATTGACTAAAATTAAGAAACCAAGACACAGAGAGGTTAAATTACTTCATTTTCGGTAAATGAGAACTGTGATTTAAATTTAGATAATGTGATTTGAGAGTCACCAAAATAAACTGTTTTCAAAGCTAATAAATACAAGCAAAGAATGCTTGGCTTGTAAAGGCTCAATGTGAACTATGACTATGAAGCAGGTGAGAAGAGTGGGAGTGACTAACTTGGACAAACTTTTAATAAAGTTCCTCAATCTCCTTCCCAGCTAACGTTTGGGTATCCACTACCCTTCTTTTCTGGCCTCTGTCTCTAAGACTGACATGAAAGACTATAAGTTCAAAATGCTCTCTCTCTCTCTTTTTGGTAACGGGGATCGAACTCAGGACCTTGCGCTTATGAGGCAGGCAGTGGAACCACTAAAATAAATTCCCGGTTCTCTCTTTGAGACAGGATTTCACTATACAGTTCAGGCTAGCCTCAAACTATGTAGCCCAGACTGGCCTTGAACTCATAGCAATGCTCTGGCCTCAGTCTCCTGAGTGCTGAGATTACAGGCGTGTGCCACGACACCCAGCTTCAAAACTCTCTTGAAGCTATTTATGCCTTGAATCCAACCTACTTTTATGAGTAAAGAACAGTGTAGGACAGTGACGCCAAAACTTTTACAGCTTTTAATGATACAAACAGCCCACTGTGGCACACGTGCTATAGGTTTGCCACCACTGGTACAGGATGACTTGTGAATTCTGGAAGAGCTTTACAATTCCCTCTTAGCTCTAACGTCCTGAAACTTGAAAAATAAATTATTGTTCACCCTCTATCTTTCATAGGTAATTTATTTCCTTTCAGCTGCCCACATAAGCCTCCCTGCATGAATCCTCCTCTGTTGTGGGCAGTTTCCAATTTACGTAACCCTCCCCTGGGAGTCCCCCATTCCATGCCTGAGGATAATCTGGTAACACAGTCCCAGGAAACCCAAACTTGATAGGCGAAGGAATCCCCAACAAGCAAAGAAACCTTATTTCTTGGCACCACTATTGGTTGGCCTCCACAGGCTTCTCACACCTGTTCTAGGTCTCCCTCCTGCTGCACCTCCAACTCTAAAGGCAAAGACTCACCAGCGCTGTTGGCCTCTGACTCCAGCAGGTGGATGTCATTGCAGTCGGCTAATGAGTGCTCCAGGCAGAGCTGCAGGAAGCGAGCTTGGGTACGAGTGACCCGCTTCAGAAGCGACAGCAGGGCCACTGTCTGCTCACACTCATTCCAGCCCTTGAACCAGCCAGCGAGGATGCCCACCTGGTCTCGGAACATCATGGTGCCAGGCCCAGGGCCAGGGTGGGGCGGACGGCGATGGCAAGGGCCAGCGCCGTCACATGGTCTCGGCTCTGGGCTCCTGTTATCTCCCCCCTGAGGGCCAGGGCTTGAGGATGTTCCCTGGCGTGATGCCAACAGGTGGTGAGGGGAGGGAGCCTGTTCACATTGGGGGAAGTCTTGGTCAGGCCACACCTCTCCAGACTCCTGTAAAAGGAAGCAAAGGGATCAGAGAGAATGAAGGGCTGAAATGTCCTGGTTAAGTGTGGGCTGAGGGGGGCTATGAAAGCCTTATCTCTTCCGCTTCCAGGGTGCTTGTTCTGAGGAGTTCCTGAAGAGAAAGATGGAGCTAGTCTCAGGTAGTAACCTAACTTCCCCTAAGTCTCCAGATCCAGATAAAAGGCTTAAGTGGCACCTTAGAGAAAATGATGTCCCTCATACCCAGCTGTCAAAGACCCAAAGGAGGCAGATTTAAAGCAGAGAGTAAGCTGTAAAGATTTTTCAAAAATGGGAAGTAAGAAATTGTGCATCATGAATTAATGGAGACCTGAATTAATGGAGATCTTGCTCAAGGTGACATGACCAAGCAAACATGTGAGCCTAAGCACATCTCCCTTACCTTGCTGGTCTCTGGCCACCTCCTCCAAGACCTGAGCATAATAAATGATCACCTGACAAAAGAACCCTAAAAAACTCTTTTATTACCTCAAATGAAAATCCACAGTGTTGGTCAGTGGTGGATGACAGGGTGGTAACCCCTGGTGGAAAGTGTGATACTATACAGATAATTATCTGATCAATTAATGGTTGGGCACCTGTCAGCCCTTGGGTGTGGGCATGGTCAGGGGCCTTTTCAAAGGCCATTGACAGGCTGAAGGGCCTCCATACCTCCAACCCAGCTCTCCCACTCTGGAAATGGTACACGTCTGATCTCTTAAGATTGCACCTATCTCTACTATGAGGTAATATACCTCTTAGCCCTTTTCTTCAGCCTGCTTCAGATTCAATCTTTCTGGGCTTGGAAGTTCCCCTGGTTCCTACAATACTAGCCTGTTATCCAAACCCCACAGTCAAGAAGACATCAACCTGAGGGGAAGAGGACAATTCAAAAATGAAAAACTCATAGGAAGAAAAGGGCTAAAGGTGTAAGGGAAGTGGGAAGGGTAGGGGAAAGGAAATAAGAGAAAAGAAAAAATATGAGAAAACAAAATAATGAAAACAAAGTTTTTGTAAATAGGGAAGGGAGTGAAGGGAGGGCAGGGGTATGGGGAAAAAATGAGAACCAAGATCTGTCATGTAAAGGTAAAAGATCCCAATGATGAATTTAACTGTATTGTATACCTAAAAAGTACCAATAAACTCAATGAAAAAAAAAAAACAACAAACAAAAAACCAAAAAACCAAAAAACCAAACTACCAAACAAAAAAGTGTCCAAATTCTTCTCGGGCAGAAGAATACATAGAAGCTGTTTTAACTGGGCAAACTAAAGGCCTTTTATCAGTGGACTACTTTCTGGACGTTACTCTAAAGCCTTTTTCTAAGTGTCTTGAGCTCAAGGTTTTCACTCACCATTTTCCCCATCTGTCTCTCTTGCAACCAGTACCCTTGGCTCCATCCCAAATCACATTTAGTTCCATCCTTTTCTGGCTGCTAAAGGGCTGAAGTTCCCTGGACTGAGAATTGTACAAGAAGCCACTGAACCTGTAGGCTTAGAGGTCCTAGGGAGCTACTCCCATTTCCCTAAACTTCCACATCCCTTCTGAGGGCAGTGAGGTGCATCTGACAATGGCTGTGATTCACCTCGCAGATTCCCTGTGGGATCCCTAAACAGAGCAAACTGGCCTAGCTGTCAATCCCTTTGGTATAAGCAGGCAAAGGTATGAGGGCAAACAAAACCTTGTTCTAAGTGAAACTGGCCTCAGTAATCTTTTAAAAGGAGAAATCATATGTTGTTCTCTCCTGGCTTACAATCTTGCACTTTAAATCCAATTTTGGACAAAAGGGTCCCATAGGACTCTTGTGGCCTCTCAAACCTCATGTACCAAGTTCCTTCTGGATTCCTCTTCCCCTAGAGCATGGCTCCCATGTTATTCAGGTCTCACTCAGCTCAATGTCACTTCCTCAGTTTCCCTAACAGTCAAATTTAGGAGACTCTCCCCTGGTCACTCCACTGTATTAGTGTTGTTTCATTTCTTTTATATAAATTGGCACCTTCAAAACCATCTTATATTGTTTCTTTTTTCCCACCAAAATGCAAGCTATACAACCAGCCAGATCCCAGAATAGTGCTTGACACACACAAGGTGCACCTTGTCTTGTAAATCAACAGCTAAAGGAGGTGGTGGTGAAGGGGTAAACCACAATTATTTCTACAGCCCCGGGAGAAAAGATGTTAGAAGAAACGGTCCACAGTATGATAAAGAGGTTTAGAAGCCTGCAGAAAAAGGAAATCTCTGGGGAAAGAGAAGACCCAGATGGAATGACATGATGGGCTGGATACTCCAGACATGGCACAGAAGAGGAATCAGATAAATTCTTTTACTCCAGGAGAGATCCAGGGTAGACAGCTGTAAGTAACAGGCTGCATGGGACATGGGAAATATTTAAAATCAAGAGGATTCAGTTCTAGTCCTCCAGCCAGATTCACTTTGATCTTGGAGTTATGTCTGCTTTTTTTCTTTAGAATGTGTAAGATATGGAACTGGCCTGTGTCAAACATGACAAATACATTCTAATTTACAGGGTAAATCTGATTGGTTGGTGATAAGATGCCTGGAGTACTATGACGAAGGGGGTCCCAAAGAAATGAAGCAATGGGAAAATCTATTAATGAGAAATGATTAACGGACAGGTAGACCCGACACTACACAATATTACGTACTATTAAAATGTGTACTGGGTGTGGTGGTATACGCCTGCAATCCTAGCAACTGGGACACTGAGACAGAAGGATCACAACCTAGAATCCAAGTTGGACAAGAGTGAGACTCTGTCTCAAACCAAAACCAAACCAAACACAGGCCAGGGATACAGCTCAGTGCAAACGCCTTGAATTCAATCCCCAGTACAAAAGAAAAAAAAAAGCTTGGTCGTGAAAGATGCAAATGTTATCTAGTGTCTGATTTCTACCAACTTGTAAGAATGCCCATAAAATGAGGAGCATTTTATGTATATGTCACTTTTGTTTAGAAAAAAAGCCACATTCAGAGCCCTCTATGTATCTTACATGAATATGCACATATATAAAGAAATGTATAGGGCTGGGGATTTAGCTCAGTGGTTCGGTGGCCTGCCTTGCAAGTGCAAGGACCGGAGTTCGATTCCCGGTACCAAGAAAAAAAAAAAAAAGAAATGTATAAACTGGGGGGGGGGGTACATGATTGTAATTCTCAAGAACCTCTCTCAAAAAAAAAAAAAAAAAAAAAAAAAAAAAAAAAGGAGTATGGAATGAAGGTCAGTAGTAGAGCGTTTCCAGGTTTGATCCCCAATACCACATATCACAGAGAAAGGGGGGGGGATAAAGAGGGAAGGAAAGGATGGTAAATTGGCTGGTTGATTTTTTTTTCTCCCCAGTATTGGGGATCGTACTCAGAACCTTGTGCTTGCAAGGCAGGCAGGGCACCACTGAGCTAAATCCCCAGCCCAAATGATTTATTTTTTTGAGACGGGGTAATTACTATGTATTCTGGCTGTCCTTGACTTCACTATGTAGCTAAGGCTGACCTTGAACTGGCAGTGATACTCCTGCCTCAGCCTCCCAAATGCTAGGATTATGAGGAATTATTAAAAACTTTTTTTTTTTCTTCTTGTAGTGCTAGGAATTGATTCACATGCTAGGCAAGCACCCTAGTGCTGAGCTATAGCCTCATCCCCCCCCCTTTTAACCTTGAGACAGGGTCTCACTAAACTGCCCAGGCTGGGCTCAAACTTGTGATATTCCTGCCTCAGCAACCTAGGGTTATAAAGGCATGTGCCACCACACCAAAGCCTTAAAATTTTATATGATTTTGTACTATTTTACTAGTTGCAAGTGATTACATCATTTTTGTAACTTAAAATAATAATTAAAAAAAATTACATTCTACTTCCTAGTTTAGTGAGAAAGAGTGCTGGGATTAATTATCAGTGTTTGTCAAGGATCCAGGGTGGCTAAGTGGGTAGCTCATGTGTCTGAAAAAAAAAAATCAGTTTTTCTTCGCAGCTCTAGCATTTTGTGGCTTTCAGTCTCAAGGAGGCAACAGCTGCCTCAACATAAGGAAGAATTTTAAAATAATGTATCTAGCCAAGAATGGAACTGGCTACCATGTGAGGAAGTAATAAGCTCCCTGGCTGCTGGAAGTGGTCAAGCAAAGCCTGGATGAACATCCGTTGGGAGTGGGAGGGATTCCTTCACTGGGTGGCAACTCCTAAGATAGGAGGACATGTTGCTATTGCAGAGGGAACATCTGTGATGAGAGGTATGACATGCCAACAGCATTTACAGCAAAAAGATGACCAAATCCACAAACAGACCAAAGTCGTACACACTCTTTCCCATAGTCATTTATTGGGTTATTTTTCCTAAATAAGACCACCGTATCCCTCCAAATAAACTGTTGACTAAAGATTAATCCAGCTTCTTCCAGAAAAACTTTTTGAGACTGAACTGGGTCTCAAATATGATGCTTACAAGCCAGGCGTTGAACAAAGCAGGCCAGTGGGGACTATGCTGAGTTAAGAGTCCACACCCTGTCTAAAAGGAGAAGTTGTTAGTCAGTTTTAATCAACTACTGCTGTGCAAGAATGTGGGTCCAGTATTGTTAGACCTTAAAGTATTTTTTAAAAGAGAAACCGGAAATCTGGCTTTTAAAATAAAATTTCAGTGAGGCATGGTGCTACCTGCCTGTAATCCTAGCACTCGGGAGGCTGAGGCAGGAGGATCACTGAGAGTTTGGGGCCAGCCTGGGCTATACAGTGAGTTCAAGGCCAGCCTGAACCCACATAGCGAGACCCTGTCTCAAAAATATCCCCCAAAACAAACAAAAAACTCTATTTTTAAATGTTGGAAACTCATTCACATTAAAATGGCAACTACTACACATAGCTAACAAAACCTGTGGCATGTGGTACTTGGAATAGATGGACACAAATTGGGAACAGACTTTAAGTAGGCTAACTAGTCCTCCCTAAGGTCCCACTGCTCAGGGAACTTTATGGGTGGAGAGGA